TAAAAACTAGATTTAGTAATAAGAAACCACAGAAGTTTAGGGCCACTATGAATGGTTCAGGACTAGCTATACCCACTTCAGTAGTCCTGAAGGCTCCATTATTACAGAATAAAATTTGAGGCTTATTATGACCAAGTTAATAAGTAAACTATTAAATATTTAAAAAAGGCAAGAAAGTGTAATGTTTTATAAAACTTCATTTAAGGTCTGCACTTAAAATTATCATAGGCAGTGTATATATTGTATATTATTAAATACATAAAGTTGAATTCTTCCTGACTTGTTTAAACATGCACTTCTGTTTTGGAACTTTTTACTCTAGCATGTAAATATATGACTTTGAATGCTTTTCAAATTATAAATTGACCAAGGACCTTGTCATATATCAAAGATAATAAAAATTTACATGTCTTGGAAATCAAGACCTAGAGAAAGACTTACCCAAAATCACAAAATGGTTAAACACTGAAAATGCTGCAACTAGAACCAGAATTCTGTCACCTACCTTACTGCCTCTATTTTCAATCATACTAGTTCTTCAAAGATGCACCTAGATGCTTAATAAATCCCAGCTGAATTGATTATCTTTATACCGGTGATAGTTTCTAAAATTGACCACAAAGTATAATACAGACCAGTTTTTCAGCTGAATGCCAGCCAAGTAATTTGTTTACATTTAGAGAAGTGTACAAAAATGATACATATACACACACATTCTTTAAACAGAATCACTTAACAAAGGCTCACACCATGATAGGCACAGGTAAAGAGACCTGCCTGAGGAAAAAGCAGATTATGAAACTTCCCACTTACGTTTCTTCCATCAGACTATACACCCTTTGAGTCTGAAGGCAGGTGGGAGAACTCCCTCTCATTGTTTTATTTGTGAAAGTTACATGTGCTTGATACAACTCCTTTGTTGGTTAAATGGCCACATAGTACTATGGCCTCATCCCAAGCTCAAATGGTAGACACTTGAGGCTACTCCAGAGTGGAGACCAACATCTCACACATTCCTGTATTTAGTCAGAAGTCTTTCTCGAAACAAGGTTGCCAGAGTTTCTCTTACCACTCTCCCTTCAAGAAGTCACAGATTTCATGGCAAAAGTGGTCATAAGAGGAAAGTTCATATCATTACAGGTCTATCTCCAAAAACAAGAACGAGCCCAAATAAAGAACCTAACGCTTCATCTTAAAAAACTAGAAAAGGAAACAAATGAAGATTAAAGTCAGCAGAAGGAAATAAACAAAATTAGAGCAGCAGTATGGAAAACAATCATCAAAAACCTACCAAAAAGTAAAAGTCCAGGACCAGATGGCTTCACCAGCGAATTCTACCAAATATTCAAAGATCTAATATAATATCT